AGTCCCAGGTCTGGGCTCTGGGACGCGTGGATGAGCAGCACAGGCTCTTTTAAGAACGTAAGGAGAGAAATGGGCTGCGTGGCCATGAAGGCCTGGGAGGAAGTTCTGCAGCCCGCTTCCTCTGGGGAGGGGGGAAAGATACGTCCCCACTGCTCAGAATGCTGGGGACTCTTAATCAAAACAGCCTGTGTTCCGGGCCAGCAAGCACATGGCCCGGGACCATTTGGACCCTCCCTGGAATTTGAATTAAGAACAGAGTTGGCTGGCTCATCCTGACTGGGAGGCCCCTGGGGTGCAGAGCAGGCCCCCGGCTCCTGGGTCTGTGCCGGACCAGCCCTTCCCGCTCACCCTGGCCAGCCGTGGGGGCCGCTGTCCATGCAGGAGCTCTGACTAACATTGTGCTGTAAAGGTCACGGGCATGCCGATGACGGGTAAGATCAAAGATGGGAAGTTAGCGGCGATCGCTGCCCAAATAAAAGGAAGCGAGTGGCCCCTGCTTCCGTGGGGGATGCGCTGAGTGAAAACCAGAAGCGGGCCCAAGGTCTGCAGACACACCTGAGGAGGCCGGCGAGAAATGAGTGCGGGAAGCGGAACCCTGCCTTATAGGAATAGCTGCCGTTTTGGGGTCTCCTTCCCCCGCTCCCTGCCCCCAGGCGGAGGCCCAGGCTGCAGAAAAATCTCGGGACTTTTTTTCAAAGCAATAATGACTGTGATTACGGGCCACGATTTCTACCCGGACTTCACTGGTAAACCACGGGCTTCTCTGGCCCAACTAAACGTATCATTACACACACAGTATCCTAAAAGAGACACCGAAGTATTTGGGCTGGAATAAGTCAGCTATGGGTATAATTTTAGGTTTGATGATACGTCTGTAAAAGCCAAGCGTTTGAGACTTGGAAAAAGTTCTGGTCCCTACCTTACAAGCATCTGCTAACCATCAACCACTAGATTCTTAAACGGCCTTGCAGTTAACTCAGTTTAAACCAAACCGAAATAAAATGTGAACTTGGGGATGCCCCCTGTCCAAGCAGAACTCTGGGGGCATTCCTGGGGCCACCCCTGGAGGCTGGAGATGTGAGGAAGGGTTCTCAGGAAGACTAACAGTTTCTAGACAAGGGGAGGGAGGCGGGAAAGCTGTAGTCACGGTGGAATATTCTCGTAAATGGGGCTGGAGAAAGCTCCCAGCTGGCCGGCAGGCGGGAGCAGAGACCTGGGCACCAGGCTGGACGGGAGCGTCTGTCCACACAGCTTGCCCAGGCAGGCAGGCGTGAGTTTTTGCTTTACCTGGGAGCAGGCTCCGCCCCACCCCCGCCCCCTCCAAGCCTGGAAGTCAAGGGAAGCTCCTGCTTAAACTGTAATTCGTGAAGCTCCTTCTATGGAGGGCGAACCAAAAACATATTCTGGGAACAGATTCTTCCTTCTCCTTCTGTGTGGGTGTGGGTGGCCAAGGCGTCTGAGGGCTCACAGTCCCACCCCCCACCTGGCCCTGCTGGCGACCTGACACCTCCATGGCTGCCCAGAGTCCTACCCTGCTGTGGGTGGCACTGCCACAGGGCAGTGTGTCAGGAGGGGGCTCGGACATGTCTGAACTGTCTCTGCGATAGTGTCTGAGACAGAGAGTGAGAGAACACGGAGAGACCAGAACTTTCCATGGGAAGAGTTTGCGTGTCTCCTGGTATGTCACCTAACTTCGAAGCTTTCGAAAGGGTGGGGGCTGGCAAGAACTAATTTTTTAAGCTGATTTGTTCAGTCACCTTTCTTTAATCTTGATGCTGTTAGCAAGGCTGCTTCCAAAGACTATTTTCGCTTAAACGGATGCTTCTGTTTTCTTTATTCTCAGTAGCAATTGTCTTAATCCCATTACCCTTGTGTACATGTCACAGCAGATCTATAAATGCACATAACGGATTCACTGATTTTCGAATAATACACTTAGAGTCAACCCTTGTTTACCAGGCAGCCTGGGATGCTCTCAGCGGGGCTGACAGTTACCTTGAAGGCCACCTGGATGATCTCCTCGGTGTTGGCAGGGTGGCACAGGACAGCCAGGCCGATCACATACTCTCGGAAGTCGATGCTGCCGTCGTGGTTCTGTGGAAGGCAGGGCAGCTCGTTAGCAGGGCCACTGTGTGCCCAGCCAGCCTGCAGTGCACCGCCCGGCCCCACGGCATCACATGCTCAGCCGTGTGGAGAAAAGCTCCCCCTGAGGGAGAACAGCAGGCAGGGCCCACCCCCCCAAATTCAGAAGGAAAAACAAATCTGTTCCTGTTTAGCAATGACCACCTCACCCCAGGGCCTCCACGCTGGCTGCGCGGCACCAGAGCGGGTTCTTGAGCTCGGCCGCAATGGCTGCCCCCAGCCGGGAGGCAGGCCAGCATGTCCTAGGTGGGATGGGAGCTTTCAGTCCAGCATTGCTGGGGGCCCAGGCCAGCGCCAAAGGTCACTAACCAACCCTCTCCGTGGACACGAGGAAGGGAAAGGAAAAGGACCATTGGAGGCAGAAGTGACAGCGAATTCTTGGAAACGTGATCTGGTACCAAGTTCAGAGTAAAATTTAGAACTGGGGGCCTCCCTGGTGGTGCAAGAATTGTGAATTTCAAAACATTCTAGACTTTGACAATATTCCAAGGCTGACTTCAAAGGAGGAGACCAGCCGGTGGAGGGAGATCCTGTCCCTCCATAACATGCCTCAAACTGGAGGCCAGGACAGCCCCAGGCCAGAGCCAAGATGGCGCACTGAGTCACTGCAAAAAAGAAGGGAAGACGACGTGCCACCGATACTCTGGACCGTGGCCCGGCCCTTCCCTGTCCAGGCAGGGGGTGGAAGAGTGTGTGGCGTGGCACCCTCCCCCCCCCCAGTCGCCCTTGTGGCTTCCAGCACCTGGGGGGTGGGGGAGGGTCCCCAGGTCACTTGCTGACACTCTGTCTGTCGGCCACTCCAGGAGGAATAGATGGCGTCTCTCCTGTGTCGGAGTCTCAGACATCGGCTCCCTGAGGTGGTTTCAGAGTTGTATTGACTCACCAGTTCTATTCACAGCATCAGGTCCCCCTTAGGTAACATTTTAAATTTAGCGACAATGCAGGATTTTAGTATTTTAAGTCCCCTTATTGGATTTTAGTCTTTTGAATCAACGTATATAAAAAGCATAGAAATCTTAATCATGGTCCCTGAAGGGAAACTTACACAGTTTCATAATGTGAACTTGTAATGGAAGGGTGATTAGGGATGTCCAAATCCTCCTTTTCATAGTGAAGGTTTGACAGATACTATCTGAAGTTGAAGGATCAAGAGAGCACTTTCTCTGTATAATTGAAAGTGACAAGCCAGTAAAAGCTTGTAGAACGACTACAAAAACTCTTGAGAAGAGGAGGCGGACAGAGGTGGTGCTGAGGACGCGACGCCTGATTGCTGATAAGGGGGAATCTGTAGAGACTTGTGTTTGGCTGAAGGGTGGTCTGGAATACATTTGGCGATGGTGAACTACTAAGGCTAGGAATCATCTTTCTTTTAGTTGTTTTATAATTACCATAACATCACAGCGGCAAATGAGAGATAATTAGCATCCCCAAAATAATTTTAAAAGGCTTACACAAGACAGGGCCTACTGTACAGCAGCCAACTGAAGAAAGGCCTGAGCATTTGAAGTTGTTCTATCAATCCAAAGGGATGTTATTATTCAAATACAGCAAACTTTCAGTTATGCTGGAGTCAGGGAGGAGGTATTCTGTTTGCTTCAGTATTCTTACTACCCACATATGTAATTGTATTACCAGTTCTCTAGGAACTAAATTGTTTCAATACATTCAGCAGTAAAGTAAACACTTTTAAAAAAAGTAATCCTGAAACCACTTCAAGGTCGATAAGCAGATTAAAAAGGAGGCCCTGGAGGGCCCACCACAGGTAATTTTAAGATCCCATTTTGGGACTCATGGTTGTGAAATACCACAGATGAGATTTCTGAATGAAGTGATTGTAAAATCAGATTTTTAAAAGCACATGTTTTTACTACTCAAAAAATACTTAAAAAATGATGCCTAAGAAAAAACTTTCAGTGTTTTCAGAGATTTCTCTTTCTTAGATACAGAGCACGTGATTCCTTTTCTTCTTGTTACAGGTTATAGAATTCAGTGAATTTTATCAAAATAAAGGTGCTTTTCAAAATTGTATGGACTATTTTGAAATTTAAAGATGTAAGACAGTGAAAAAGAAACCAGGAAAACAATGCACTTACATTCTCATCCAAAACAATTAAAAATATTGGAATAAATTTAACTGAAGCAGTGAAAGACTTATGCATGGGAGACCATAAGACACTGTCTAAGGAATGAAGGGACAAAAAAGATGGAAAGATATTTCATGCTTATGGGAGAACTAACTTCCTTGAAATGGTTATATGGTCTAAAGCAATACACAGATTCAATGCAATCCCTATTAAAACCCCAACAGCATTCTTCATTAAATTATGAACTACAAACAACAACAACAACAGCAACAAAAACCAAAATCCCGAACAGCAAATATACTCCTGAGGAAAAAAGAACAAAAATGGAGGTATCATAATCTCTGACTTCAAAGTATATTGTAAAGAGATAGTAATTAAAACAGCATGGAATCTGAATAAAAATAGACACGTAGATGAACGGAACAGATTTGAGAGCCCATAAATAAAATCACACGTGTGAACAATTAATTATTTTTCTTTTTAAAGATTTACTTATTTATGCATACAGAACTGGGGTACAGGCCAGAGGTGCAGAGACGGTGAGAGGATTCACCAGAGACAGAGTGGGGGGCAGAACAGGCCGAGTGATAAGTATGCTGCTGAGAGGAGCAGTGGGCAGGTCAGGAGAGGTCTGCCATGCCATGTAGGTCACCTCCGGGGCTGGGGATCGAACTCATGCTGAAGTGGCTTTAGCTTCTTGGTGATGTGCCACCAGGGAGGGCCCAGACAATTAATTTAAGACACAGCAGCCACGGACACACAAAGTATAAAGAAAATCTCTTCAATAAATGATGCAAGGATAACTAGACAGCCACATGCAAATGAAGCTAGACCACCATCTTACAGCATATACTAAAGTTAATTCAAAATGGGTTAAGACCTGAAACCATCAAGTGTACCGGAGAAAATACAGGTGATATGTTCCTGTGATCATGAGATGTGTTTGGGGACTTAACTCCAACAGCCAGGGAAACAAAAGCAAAAATAAATAAATGGAACAGCAGCAAACTAAAAGCTTCTGCATAGCAAAAGAAATCTGCTTTAAAGTGAAGAGATACCCTAATGAATGGAAGTCCACTTTTGGAATGGAAGTTCCATTTGTCCACTTTATCCAGATATCCACTTCATCTGAATACCCAAAGACACTGTGCATAATCAGAAATGAAAAGAATACATAAAACTCAACAAAATAGCAACCAGATTACAAATTAGGCGGAAGATACAGATAGGTACTCCTTCAAAGAAAAGTACAGATGGCCAACAGGCACATGAAAAGATGTTCATCATCTGTTACAATTAGGGAAATGCAATTGAAAACAACTATAAGATATAGCACTATACCGTGAGATGGTTATTATCTAAAAGAAAAGAAATTTTGGACAGGCTTTAGTGTGGAGAGAAGGGAACCCTATGTGATATTGGTGGGAATGTAAATCGGTGCATCCATTATGGATATAAGCATGAAGATGCTTCAAAAAATTAAAGATAGAAATTTCAAATGATCTAGATATCTCAGTTTTGTGTATTTAACCCCAAAATACAAAACCACTAATTCAAAGAGAATTATGTTTATCCCACATATTTACTGCTGTATTAGTTAATAGCCAAGATCTGGAAACAACCTAAGTAACAGACAGTATATAAGCCCAATGGAATACTACTCAGCTATAAAAGGATGAAATCCTGCTATTTGCAATGACATGGATGAACTCGAGGGAATCATGCTTACCAAAGTAAGTCAAAGGGGAAAGAGAAACATTTGTAAGATTTATTGCAGCACTATTTACAATAGGTAAAATATGGAAACAACCCAGATGGCCAAAAGTAGATGACCGAATCAAGGAGATGTAGTCCATACACACAATGGAATACTATTCAGCAGTCAAATAAGATAATCTCATGCCGCTTGAAGGAAATGAAAAATATTGGATGGTTTCATGTTTAGGAGAAATACAGGATAACCAAGTAAGGGATCAGGAAAAAAAATGACAATATTCTTAAAAAGACCAACAAAATTAGCAGGCAACCATAAAACAAGAAACCTTCTGTGAAGGAGGGGAAGGAAAAGGGATCAAAACTGGACAGAAGAGCCCAGGAAATTCCCACCACTAGTTCATAGGTGAATTCTCATAAAATTCACACCACTAGTTCACAGGTAAATTAGTGGTGGGACTGTTTAGCAAGGTAGCAGGATATAAAATAAACACACAAAAGTCAGAGGCTTTCCTATACACAAACAACCAAGCAGAAGAAGCAGAGATAAAAAAAAAAAAATCCCCTTTTCAATTAAAATAAAAAGGATCAAATACCTGGGAGTCAACAAAGGAGGTAAAAGACCTCTACAAAGAAAATTACAAAACACTATTAAAAGAAATACAAGAAGA